AAGAAGAAAACACTTTTTTTTTCTCGCGTATATAACACATTCCTCTATAATAGAATATTGAGGCACTCATGGACTTTATAGTTATAAGTGACGAGCTCGGTGAAAGCGAATGACGAAGACACGATTTGGGGGTCATTGGTTGCGTGCGAATTTCGAAATAAAGACATCTGCATAAACAAACCCACTATATATATATATATATATACACGAATTTCTGACAATAAAATTCTTTCATATATCGTCGTGTATCAAAAAATTGTTTCCATTTAAGAATATATTTTCTTACATTATATATATAGTGTGTCGTGATATTAGAATATATTATTTGTTTTTTATTTTTATTTATTTAAATAATTAATTTAAATTTAGTTTATAAACAAAAAATTGATTTCGTTATTGTTTCACAATCATAAAATAATTTAGTAATTACAAAATCAATCGTATTTTATTCTACCTAAATAAAATCATTTATTTGAATTAATTTCGTTACAATTATAATATATTTATTTCAGAAGTAAGAATATAACTGAATTTTTGTTAACTGCTATAAATTCTATAGAATGGAAAATTATTTATAAAATTTCTTTTAATTGCGATTTTTCTGCAGAAAAAAAAATTTCCTTAATAAATCTTTTTTTTTAATAGGGGGTCAGTTGGGGTAAATGGGGACAAGAGGTTTTGGAGCTTAATTTATAGTTTTAAAATAAAGTTCAACGTCAATATTTTAACCACAGATCACCTACAAGAGGTTCTGAGTATTGACAAGTTATCGCTCAATACATTACAAACTTGAAAATCAAAGTGAAACTGTTTTAGTATTTTGTTTCGCATTTTAAAGAAAACAAACTTAAAAATCATTCAAATTTTTTTTTTCTTTCTTATGACTCCTATAACAGAAATTCATTTGAATTTTTGATTTTTGTCAATTTGGGTAATAATAACAGGCTGTCCCTATTTACCCTAAAAATTTGAAAACTCGGGGTAAATAGGGAAAGTCTGTTATTATTACCCAAATTGACAAAAATCAAAAATTCAAGTGAATTTCTGTTATGGGAATCATAAGGAATAAGAAAAAAATTTTGTACGATTTTTAAGTCTATTTTTTTTCACAAAATACTAAAATAAAAAAAAAATTAAAAAATTTCAATTGGTTCAACTATTATATATCTACTACATATTTCTTTCAAGTTTTTTCATCCCTTAATACGCATTAATATATACTTAAGGAAACTTTCTTCTTAAACCTTTCTTAGAAACTATGCTGTCCCAATTTACCCCAAATTTTATGAAATTTTCTAAATCTTGGGGGTAATTTGTGAAAAATAGGAATTTTGTCCCTATTTACCCCAACTGACCCTAAACATAATTAGCAGATGTATTTTTATTTTTTATAATGAAGTTTAATTTAATTCTATATTGAAAGTTTTACGTGAATTAATCATTATTATTTATATAATAATTATTTTATATTTGTTTTTTAAATTTATTTTATACTATTAAAATATAATATTAAGGGGAGGCATCACCTTCGTTTCGACTCATTTAATTTTAATGATCGCACGATGTTAGATTTTTTTTTTATTGCTTTATTTGAATTCTAAAAATATACAAGGTGGTCAAAAAAAGAAAATCTTAATTTTTAACCATTTTAGAGTATTGACTATTTTTCATCGACAATATTTTTTAATAATTTTTTAAAATCTCTCGCATGGATTGAAAAAATTTTAATTTTTAATAAAATAAAGGGAAAAAAATAATTTGAAATTTCATTAATATTTTCTTTTAAATATTTAACTATACTTTTACAATTTCAAATACTATTCATTGACAATTTTTTCAGACACTTTTTTTAAAGGATTTTTTAGAATTTTTCACATAGAATTTAAAATTTTTTTTTTATTTTTTTGAAAAATACAAATTCTAAACTAAAAAATTAAGATTTTCTTTTTTTGACCACCTTGTACGTTTTTAGGACCCAAATGATGCAATAAAAAGAATATAACATCGTGGCGATCATTAAAATTTAAAGGGGTCTAAATAAAAGTGGTGCCACCTTTAAAAATCTTTTAATTTAAAAATGTATCAATTTTTAAATTTTTTATTATTATTATTTTATATAACACATAATATTGAAAATAATTTTGTAATTTATAAATAATAAATAATATTCTTCAGGAATACTGGATAAAAAAAAACATTCATATAAAAACAATTTATAAATATTATAATACTTTTTTTCATTATTTAAAATTAGTTTAAAGAGGGTGGCAAATGTTGTGATAAAAACGTCTTTTAATAAATGTTATAAATTAATTTAGAATCCTAAAATTATTCTTGTACTTAAATTTTCTTTTATATATCTATAAAACGAGAGAAAAAAATACTAAATATAGATATTATATCTATGGTAAATTGTTGATAATTTTAGCAAACAATCCCCAGTCTAACGTAAATCATTTTGGTGTATATTCTAACGGCCTCATTTTGACTCGGAAATAAATGTCTTCTACGCTAAGTTTAATGCAGCTGTGCAGTTGTCGAGGAAATTTCAACTGATTTTAGAAAAGATTTGTTACTATAAATCAATTAACGAAACGACATTAAAAGGTTCTCGACAAGATTCATGTTCATTTTCTTTTTTTTCTCCCCTCATTTTTTCTTTTATTTTTCAAATATATTTAAAAAGTAACTCTATATAATCGATGAGTATTTATAAAAAAAAAATGAAAATCATGAATTTTTAATTATTTAATTATTATTATTTTAAACGAAATTAATTTTTTTTTAAATTGTACAACAGGATCTTTTAAAGTTTACTAAAATTTATTTTAATTATAGTTATATTTGTCGATGAAACTAATTTTTAGTTTTTGAGGTTATGTCAAGACGTTGAACTGCCATAATGTTTCTTTTTTAATTTTAATATTTTTTGCATTTGTTATTATAAACAATTTAAAAACTCGACTTTTTGTTCAAAGTGTTTGTTAATACCTAATTGTCTAATTAATTAATTAATTTTATTAACTTACTTTTTTGAACGTAAATTTATGATAATATTATTTTTGTATTTAGTTTTTAAATCTCAATATTATTTTCTTAATTATTATTTTTATTAATATTATTATCATTATTATTTATTAATTAAAATATTTTTAAATCCATAAAAATTTTGATAATAAAAAAAATATTATTATTATTATTATTATTATTAATTTCTATACATGTGAATAACAGTTTAGTCTTTATGAGAAAAAAAAGAGGGAATCACAAAATCACATGACGCCCTATTGCGGCGCCACGCGGGAAGTTTGAATTGAAAATGCTAAAAATGAGTCTTACACGGTCGTTGTTAGTATCGAGTCATTTGCGTCACCATTGGCGATGGTTACCTTGTCGCAAGGTGGTCATGGTCCCGACGGCCTAGTCGCCCAGTCCCACACTCGGAGAAAATTATCGTTGATTCAACCGTACACACACACACACACACTTCAAATTTTATTATTATTACAACACTTTTTGTATTCAAAATAAAGGATCATTTTTATTTTGTTATTTACCACAGAAAAAATAATATTAATTAATTCATATTAATATTAATAATAATAATAATAATAAACAATTAAGAATTATGTTAATAATTAATAATATTAATTAATAAATACTAAAACTTATAATTGTTGTAAGCATATTTATATTATATATAATAGTAATAATAATAATTTTTATTTTAATATTAATATAAATTAGGTTTTAGTTTACTGGTAAAAAAAAAATTGGGGGAGAGAAAAATTTATCTAGTAGTTAATTGTGAAATTATTTTAAGATTAGATTTATGATGATATATATATATGAGTTGAAATACAAAATCTAAGTAAACGAATTATAAAAGTTTTCATGTTTGTCTAACACAAAGAAAGTGGAAGTGTAATGTGCGCCTTATCGGTAATATACTTATGCAACAGAAGGAAATAATCCACAGCCTCCGGAATATAATAATCCAAATCGTCTCACTCTTCTTTTGATTAAAAAAAATATATATATATATATTGTTTTTCCCTCTAATATTTGGCACCACTATTATTATTACCTATTTCTCAAAATTTTATTTTAACATCAAAAACGTTTTCAGATTGACACACCCACCCACTATTGTAAAAAAAAAAAAAAAATTTTCTTTTCTCATTACAAAAATATTTCATAATATTACCTTATAATAATAATTAGTTTTAGAGAATTAATATTGTTCATTAAAAATAATAATTTATTAATTATGACAATATATTATAGTTACTTAAAATTGTTATTAACAAAAATAATATACAATTCATTATTATTATTATTATTGTAAGAGTACTATGTACAAAAGGGCTTGACCCGTATGTTGTTAAATAAATAAATTATTATTATAATTGTATACATTGTTTATATTATAAATTACATATAAAATATTAATAATAATAATAATAATAATAATTAAGGACTTGTCCCTTTAATAATAAAATAAATAAATAATAATAATAACAGTAATATAAACATTAGAATGATACAAATCTTAAAAAATAATAATGAAAATTAAACGTATACAATAACGATATTTAAATTTATTCAAGGATATATTAATCAAATTTTTCACATTTATAATTAATGATGAAATTTCTTAATAGAAAAATGATTTTATCATACATAAAAACAAAAAAATCATATTTTTTATAAACAAAAATTTTGGAAATAAAGTCACTTTTAAGATATAAAACAATAATAATAATAATAACAATAATAATATTAACAATAATAATAATAATAATAATAGATTGTATATTATATAGAAGTGAGAGTATAAGGAGCGAAGGTCGTGAGAAAAAAATACCACTTGACAGGTGTCAATTTGAAAAAAAAAAATAATAAACAAAACAATGAAATAAAAAAAAATGGCTAAAAGAAAAAAATTGCTTTTTTGGGCCTTAATACACTGACGACAACTACGACGGAGGGGCTCTCACCTTCCTCCTATTTTCATTTGCTCAGCCAGTTATTTCGCCGGACTGCAAAGCACACGACATCGCAGCGGACTTTTTTCGTCGAGCACCGATTCGCGGAAACTGCGCGTTTCAGAACACGCGAAGAAACGGGCCCTCAGCTAAGTTGCTCCGCGCAATAATGATAGGCGCATGCGCGCGACACTCCCTCCCCCTCGAGCGGAAATCCCCGCTTTGGTCCCACACTCTAATCCCCATCCCCCCCCTCTCTTCTACCTTCCAATCTTTGCGTCAATCCATTTCCCTGTATGGAATATTGGGCCCTGCAATAACATTGTAGACATATACATACACTTATGTATGTATAAGTATAATAAACACTTTTAAGAAAGTATTATGAAGGATTTAAATTCTTTGATTTTTAATTATTAAAATTTTATTAATAAGAAAAAATTTAATAAATTTTTGTAAATTGAATAACATTTTTTTTTTTTGTTAAGTTAATATTTTTCAACGCAATTTTTTTTGCTTAACCCTTTGCGGCACAGTAGTAACCCAGATTACCACCTATTTTATTTACAACTTTTCTTACTGTATTTTAAGTTTTTTAAGCAATATTCATTAATTTTTTTTAAAGTGAATGAGAACATATTATTGAATGACACGAAAATAAAAGTAACAATATTTACGAAAAAATTATAAACAATTATAAATAAATAATTGTCAAAAAACTGTCTGTTTTTAAAAATGGAAAAAATGGCGGAAAATTTTTTAAAACTTGCTTGGATTCGCTTGAAACTCGGGGGTTTTTGGTGTCGCTGATTACGATTCTGAAGTCAGTTTTTCAAAAATCAAAATGGCGGATCCAATATGGCGGCCAACTTTTTTAAAACTTAATGCAATTCGTTTGAAACTCGTTACTCGGGGGTTTTTGGTGTCGCTGATTACGAATCTGAAATCAGTTTTTAAAAATTCAAAATGGCGGATCCAAAATGGCGGATGACTTTTTAAAAATCTAATGCAATTCGTTTGAAACTTGTTACTCGGGGGTTTTTGGGGTCTTTGATTACGAATCTGAAGTCAGTTTTTGAAAATTCAAAATGGCGGATACAATATGGCGACCGAAAATTTTAAAAATCCACGAAATTTGCTTAAAACTTGTTACTCGGGGGTTTTCGGGTCGCTGATTACGAATCCAATGTTAGTTTTTCAAAATTTAAATTGTGGATCCAATATGTGCTCATTGTAGTACAAAAGCTGACCAAAAGCGAACGTCCTGGATTTGTAAAACTTTCAATGTTCCACTCTGCCTATTGCCAGGAAGAAATTGTTTCGCCTCTTATCACAACTAAAAATGGAATTTTACTTAAGATCCACCATTTCCAATTTAAAAAAAAAACTTGATATTTGTAATCAGCAACTATAACAATCAGCCTTTTTCAAGGTTACCAAATCATCTCGAAAAACCCCGAGTAACAAGTTTCAAGCGAATAGCATTAGATTTTAAAAATCGTACGCCATATTGGATCCGACATTTTGAATTTTTGAATACTGACTTCAGATTCGCAATCAGCGACCCCAAAAACCCCTGAGTAACAAGTTTTAAGCGAATTGCATTAGATTTTCAAAAAGTCGTCTGCCATATTGGATCCGCCATTTTGAATTTTTAAAAACTGACTTTAGATTCGTAATCAGCGACCCCAAAAACACTTATAAGTGTGATCATCTGTATTTTTGAATGGAATGAAAAATGTGTGCCGCAAAGGGTTAAAGGCTTTATTTCGGTGTATAAATTAATAAAGTATATAAATTTGGTATAAGCGCAGCAATGGGCCAGTACTGGCATTCTGTACTGGAGTAGTGCAGGTGTTGTACTGACAACGTTGATTATTAAAACATTCTAATCAGAATAGAATGTAAAATATACCACTGTCCATTTCAATCCATTAAGTCAAAATTTTGACATAACCTCCAAAAACCTTCACAGATACACAACAACTATGAAAAGAATTGATCTGTATGATTCAAAACATGTCTACTATACATTTTTAGGAACGCTGAAACCGAATCCGCTTTCCAATTTATCCTATTACGTTAGAATTTTAACATAACCTCAAAAAAAAATTCATAAATACAGTAAAAATAGAAAAATAATACAACCCTGGGCTTCTGACCATGTTTATTATACGTTTTTGAGGTCAGTGAAAACAAATCCGCTGTCCATTCCACACCGTTACGTGAGAATTTTGACATAACCTCAAAAAACCTTCACAACACAGTACCTCCGTGAAGTTAGCACAAAACTTTAATAAATATCAATTTTTTTTAATGGAATCGTATGGTAGCGTTTGGTAATCGTGTTTGGTTGTTTGGTAGCGAATAATTAAAAAATTATTTAAATTTTAAGTTTTGAGTTCTAATTTCACACTAGCACGACATTTAAAGAATTTCACGAATATTCTTGTTGGAAACGTTTGGTAATCGTTTGGTAGTAAATTTCTGTTCAAAATTAATTAAAAAGAAAAATGAAAAAACTAAGCAGTGACATACTGCGCATGCGCAAAAACGAGCAACCATATTGCTTTGGCGCTAAATTCAAAAATAAATACATTGCATAAACCTTTAAAACATGTGCTAATATGAAAAAAAATTTTTTTTTAACTATAATCATTGTCTCATTACACCTCAACTACCAACGATGATTAGTAGTCCTCAATAAACGTTTGGTAATTAATTTCTGATTGTTTATTAATTTTTTTAAATAAACCACCATTCAATTTTCTCCGAGTGCTACTTCCAGTATGGTTGTTATAGAATAAAATTATTTGTCAATGTCTCGTATACCCTCCCTGAGGATTGGTAGTCCACAATAAACGTTTGGTAATTAATTTCTGATTGTTAATTAATTTTTATAAATAAACCACCATTCAATTTTCTCCGAGTGCTACAACCAGTATGGTTGTTTTGGGATAAAATTATCTGGCAATGACTGGTAAACACTCTATGATGATTGGTAGTCCACAATGTACGTTTGGTAATTAATTTCTGATTGTTAAATAATTTTTATAAGTAAATCACCATTCCATTTGCTCCGAGTGCTACTACCAGTATGGTTGTTATGGGATAAAATTATCTGGCAATGACTGGTAAACACTCTATGATGATTGGTAGTCCACAATGTACGTTTGGTAATTAATTTCTGATTGTTAATTAATTTTTATAAATAAACCACCATTCAATTTCCTCCGAGTGCTACTACCAGTATGGTTGTTTTACGAAAAAATTGATTTGTATTGACTCGTATACCCTCCCTGAGGATTGGTAGTCCACAATAAACGTTTAGTAATTAATTTCTGATTTTTTATTAATTTTTTTAAATTAACCACCATTCAATTATCGCTGAGTGCTACTACCAGTATGGTTGATTTTCATCTTTTTTTGTAACGACTCGTATAGTTTCCTTGATGATTTGTAGTTCCTAATCTTCGTTTTGTATCTTAATCTTTGTATTTAAATTTTTAATTTTTTTAGAATAATTGAAATCCATCGATTTTTTGATTACTTTTGAAAGCAAATAAGAAATTTTTTTGGGTAATAAAAATTACAACTCCGTAATTTAAAAAATTTTCATTGCTGATATTTTATAATCGTTTTTATTGATTTTTATAATTATTAATTTTTCAGGCTTTCAGGTACATACTAAGATAATGTCTAAAATATTTGATACTCCTTAACAATTAAGTTTTGTTTAGCTTAAATTGCACTGGTTGTGCTTTAAAATTTTTTATCCTTTTTTGCATTTTTTTATTATTTTTCTTTGACAAATTTTATAACTTCTTTTTTCTTAATTTTGAATAATGGATATATAATATATAATAAATAAATCCACATATGAATTTTTTATTTTTTGATTTTTAAAATGGTGAAAACAATTTTTTAAAATTTTAATTGTATAAATTAAATTTATTTTCAGATTTGATCGTTTACAAAAATTCCGAGTTGTTGATAAACAAGTGATGTTAAATTTCTGCGATTTGTTTTTAGGTTAATGTAAACTTCATTTCTTGACCAATTTTTGTTTAATTGCATACTGACGTCTTCATAGAATGAAGAATTGTAGTTTGGCAAGCCCGTTATTAAATAATTTCCAAACTTGCAAATAGCCATTACTGCATCATTCAGTTCCACCTTAGTTTTGGGCGGCATCTACAAATATGTAAAAATATATGATAAATTGAATTAAATACATCGTATACCATTTAAAAGTTTTCAAAAAATTGTTTGTTCACCAACAAATTAATATTTCTTAAATTGGTGAATCTTTAAGACAATAATGAGCAGTTGAAAGAATGTAATAGTTGCATACACGGTAAAAAGGAAAGTCTTAAATTTAAGACAAGAAGCAACACGATAGTAAAGTGCAAATAAAAAATGTGTTTTTCTCCAAAACACGGCTCATTCAGAAATTGAAAAATGTATCATGTGTTATACGACACAAGGCAAAATTACAAGAACTGATAACATGAAATATTCGTTTCGCGAATTAAGCACGACACAAATATTTCCCTGATTTCTGATGATAATCAGTATAATTATTTTTACTTTACTCTCTTTTCCTTGAATATGAAGTCATTCTTATGTTAATTATTTATATAATTTTCATGATTGCTTACCTTGCAAAAATCCTACAAGTATATTCTATCTTTATAACGAACTTTTTTAACAGTTTCTTCTTGGTTTAGGGGAAATTATACAAGCTTTTAAAAACCATTAAGGTGAATTTCAAATGTCATAACCAGGGATAGATAATGATGGTTGAGTTGATATAAAGGTGCATTTCTACTTCCTATTTATTTGATCGGCTCTGATAAAAAGGATGTTTCTGAATTGAAGAACGGTAATATACCAAAATCCCCACACGACATTTGGCCCACGCGACATTTCACCCACTTTCCCTAAGCAGAAAATTCCCCACCAAGGCACAGTGGCCGATTTCCCGAAAAACCTGGCCAAAAGTCAAAAATTTTTTTTTAGAAATTTATACTTTTTATTGTTGAATATTATAAAGGAGGGTTCACTGCATAATTTTGCGAAAAAAAATTACACTTTTTTTATCACCAATTTATTATGTGAACAAGTAAAAGTGATCTTTGCCAGAGATTTACTCAGAACG